CAGCACGCTTTGCCAAAATTTGCTTTTGGCACGTTTGGCTATCAGGGTATATACAGAGTGTCCCGAAGTCCCATTACTTGGATTACTTCATATATCCTATATATTATTGTATTAATATTATATTAATATTATATTTTATTGTATTAATTACTTATAAATTTAAATTAATTACGAAATATAGATGATCTTGTAAGTTTCTTGTAAGTTTGTTTTCTGTTTGCAGCATATATAGATAATTTTTATAAAAATTAAGTTGTTTCCTGAAAATGATAAAAATTAATAAATAAATGTTAATAAGAAATTACAAATTTGCGAAATCACACTATAAGTAAAATTAGTATGATTTGGGCATTAATTAAATTAAAGAACATATGTTGTTTAAAAGTTAATGTGGTTGTTTAAAAATATCAGCTTACAGGAACTCGAAAAATAAAACTTTCAGCAACTTCTACTTTGGATGGTTTCCATCTTTTCTTATTGCCTGTTTTTATGTTACTAGATTTAAATAAATAAGGTAATATAAGAAGACTCAGTGTTTCAACTGGTACATCTGCAAATAATATATAAATTATGCTAAATTTCTTCTATTTTTACATACCTCATATTTGTACACAATTTTGAAAATATAATAGGATGTTTTATACAAAAAAGATTTACTTATGATATTCAAAAAATTATTTATATATACCATTTTTTACTTCGCACAATGAGGGACATGTTTCTGTTTTCTCAGCAAGAAGTAATATATACGGAGCTATTTCAGGCCACTTTTTATGGAATATTAACGTATCTCTTCCTGTTGCTATTTGAAAATCAATCTGTAACTGTAACTTCTGACATTGAGTAACATTGCATTTTTAAGTTGAGTTATAGAACATTAAAATATACATCATACACTCTTACTAGTTTAGCACCAATCGCAGTTTTTAGAATAGGATATTCATCATAATAATCTTTAATTACAGCTCCTCTATTTCTTTCTGCAAATGTTTCTTTCTACAAGTTTTCAAGATTTTCGTCTTCCGGTTAAATAGCACGTAATGTAATCAATGCCTCTTCAGAAACAGAAGTTGTTTCAATGTTCTCTTTTTCACATTCATTTGTATGTTTCTTCATAAATTTCTTAAGATTATTATACTTGTCCCAAAGTTTTCCATTAGCAAAACGTTTGAATTTAGTGTTACTTGGAACCTAGTATATAGATGTTTTTTCATACTTAAAAAGACTAACAATCTGTGCAGCCCATTCTTGAAAATCTTCAGATTTTATTCTACAATAAAAAGTAGAATGAAAGAAATAAATATAAAAATAGG